AATACAACCTGGCATCTGGATCTAAAGCTGTCCAACAGAACTTTCTGTGATGAAGGAAAGTTCTGTCTGTGCTGTCCAACAGGGTAGCCACTAGCCTCGTATGGCTATTGAGCTCTTGAAACATGGCTAGTGTGACTGAGGAACTGAATTTTTTATTTTAATTTTAATTAATTTAAACTTAAATAGACACACATTAATATTAAAATTTCAAGAAATCACACAAATTAAATCTTATTCAATGCACTGTAAGTTTACTTGCTAGTATGTATCCATACGACTGAAGTGAAATAAGTTAAAATGAGAAGGTATCTTCTGGATTCTGAGTGAGACCGCAATTGCTGAAAAAAGTCTCTTAGGGTTTTATTAGCTGGTTACATTTGGCCCTTAAATGCACATGACAAAAGTAACAGAATTTTAAGACTAATATTCCTTTCCAGCAGCTATACTGCTAGTGGCTAAGAACTGACGTTCTAAATAGAAAAAATAATTTCAATGTATTTGCAAAACTAAATGCTTTAAGGATATAAAAACTACAAGTTACCATAATTCTTACATATTCAAATACCTACTAAAGGTCTCCATTTGAATGCCTCATAAGCATCTCCAAGTCATCACTCCCCAAAATAAATCCCTGATCTCCCATGTCCCAAAAAAAGCCCTGCTCCTCGCTCACTTACTATTTCCAATTCAGAAAATGGCAAATCATACCAATTGCCCAGGCCTAAAACCTTGGTGTCATATCCTTGACTCCAACTTTCTCCCACATCCCAAATCCAAATCTAACACTTGCTATTTCCTCTGCCTGGAATGTTCATTCCCATGCCTGCTTTATCTGCATGGCTTGCTTCCTTCTTCCATCAAATCTTAGCTCAAATGACACCTTAATGAGGCCTTCCCCCCTACAATTGCAAACCTACCACCCCATGCTCCCTATTCTCCTTCCTTACTTTGTCTCCATAGCATTTACCATCATGTGATATAATACATATTTTGTCTGCTCCCATTAGAAGTAGGCTACAGGAGGGAGTGGATGTTTGTTTTGTTCAATGCTGTATCCCCAGTGCCTGGCACATAGAAAGTACTAAAATATCAGTTGACTGAATGACTCAACAAACCCTATAAACATTACATATGCAAAAGGACACAATCAAGGATGGAAAGGAAATATATGTAGAAATCACTGATCAGGGCAGCGGACTGAATTTTTTCAATAAATAAAACTAGGTAAATGAACAATTGTTAGCATTGTTTTAAGTGGCCAGTGTAACATTTGAAGTCTATTAGTTAGGAGGCAAAATTCCATAAACTTTCTGATTTAGATACCCCTTGCTGGGTGGGGTGGGGTGGGGTTGGTGTCTTTTCTAACTCAACCTCATTCACTCCTGCCTCATCTTTCATAACTTTTACCACAACTTGAAATTAGCTCAATCAAAGTAGAAAATAAAGTCTAATAGAAACACTATTTAGGTTATCATGCACCCTGAATTAGGCAAGTTCACAAATGTTTTAAATTAAGCTAGTTTGTTTCACAGGCATATCAGTTATAAAATACTGTATTTTTCATTTCTATAGACCTGCACTGTCCAGAACAGTAACTGCCAGCCACATATGGCTATTTAATGAAGTTAATTAAAATTAAATAAAATTAAAAAATTCAGTTCCTTAGCTTGTACTAACCACATTTCAAATGCTCAATGCTACACGTAGCCAGTGGCTACTATACTGGACAGCACATATACTGAACATCACAGAGAGTTCTATTGGGCAAGACTGCTGTATACGTTTTTTAAAGCTTTCTTTTTAAAGCATAAAACATTCAGGGGAAACACTGGCAGATTTAACCTTGCAATTTTCAATTCTCTAAGTCAGTGTTTCTTAAAGTGGGGTCTCTGGACCAGTAGCAGCATTACTTTAAAATGTGTTAGAAATACAAACTCTTGGGCCCCAGCAATCTGTGCTTAACAAGATCTCCAGGTGATTCTGGAGATTCTGAAGCATGCTCAAATTTTAGAACCACTGTTCTAAGTTACTAAAGAGCAGTTGTCACCACAGCATCAAAAAAAAAAAAAAAAAAAAAAAAACCCCAAACCCATCACAGTAAAGTGGATTCCAACTCACAGAGACCCTACAGGACAGCATAGAACTGCCCCATAGGGTTTCCAAGGCTGTAAATCTCTAAGGAAGCAGACTACCACATCTTTCTCCTGCAGAGGGGTGGGTGGGAAACTGCCACCCTCTGTAGCTAAGTGCTTAACCACTGCGGCACCAGGGCTCCTCACCATAACATAAGGTATGAGATAATAAGAAATAAACCATTACAGTCTAAAATATCCTGTAAAAAGATATTGCTGTTGTTAGGTGCCATGTTATATATAACAGAACAAACTGCTGACTGGTCCTGTGCCATTACACAACTATGTTTCTATTAAGATGTCTTGTAATACAAAAGAAAAACTAAGTAAATATTTTCATCAAGATTATTATAACATTAAAACTAAATCAATTATGGACTTCATTTCTTTTGAAAAACCGTTAAAACTATAATGTGCTTCTGCTTCTAATTTGCAGATCCCTTTTTCAGTTCAATATCAGTATAACCATTTTCATCTTTTTCTAAGGATTCAATTAGAAACCTTTAAAGTTACAAATACACAACAGTAGAATTATTATGGAGGAAAGACTTTCCATTTTTGTGCCGAATGAAATTTTTACACGGTTAAGTATTATTTTTATACCAAACTAATAAAAAAAATCTATTATCTAAAATTACCTATTGGGGCCCTAGTAGTACAGTGGTTAAGGGCTCAGGCTGCTAACCAAAAGTCAGCAGTTGGAATCCACCAGCTGCTCCTTGGAAACCCTATGGGGCAGTTCTACTCTGCCCTGTAGGGTTGCTATGAGTCAGAATCAACTCAACTGGCAACAGGTTTTTTTTTTAATTACCTCAGCAAGAAGTTGAAACTAAAGTTGCACATGTGTTACAAAAAGAGGTTAAGCAACATCCAAACCAAACCCATTGCTGTGGAGTCCACTGGGACCCTTAACGACCCTATAGGGCAGAGCAGAACTACAGCACAGGGTTTCCAAGGCTGTGTATCTTCACTGAAACAGACTGCCACATGTCTCTCATGAGGAGCAGGTGGTAGGTTCAAACTGCTGGCCTTTCCGTTAGCAGTCAAGCACTTAACCACTGCGCCACCAGGGGTCCTTTAAGCAACATAAGTACTCTAATTTCCTCTTAGGAATCACAGATCTAATATAAAACTACGTATCTGCAACATCACATCAATGTAGGTTAAATATTCCTTATTAGCTGACAGAAAAACATCCTTAGAAATTTTAGCTAAGAATAGTAATGCAATACATTAAAGTGATTATAAAGCCATTGGAAAAAGATCTAGTCTTGGCTTAACACAAATCTGGCCCAAAAAGGAGAGATCTTAAGATACTGACTGAATACAAATGTCTGCCACAGCCAAGTGTCTACTGGTGGAAAATTACTTAATCACAATCGTGTATAGAATGTTTAAGGTGTGTACTCTGCAACAGCAGGCACATAAATCATGTTAAGAAATGTTATAAAAATACAAGATATTGAGTATATGCACCATCCATGGGAACCTAAATCACACCCACTGCTAATCAAACATCTTTCCGTAAAATGGACAATGGCAGTGCTTGACAGAATTTTGAAATCTAAACATTCTTCATTACTTAAGATTAAAGACACAACTTCCACAATTTAAGTATTGTTTTTAAAAAAGTTACATGACTAATATTAAGTTATATTAAGTACAATCATACGCCAGACTGTGATACTTATTTTATTTATCTTTGTGTTCCGAGCACAGTTCCAGATATGTAATTTAATTGGCATTTGTGGAACAGAAATGAGTATTAAGCTCTTTGAGAGGATTAAAAAAAAAAACTTTTTCTTTAATGGTCCCAGCCTTCAAGGTTACAAATCCAGTTGGAAGATAAAACACACGAAAAGCTAATCAACATATGATAATTAAAAATACCACGTCGCAAATATGATTATTTACAAAGTTAGTGGCAAGAGAGTGCTATAAATTCTGACCAGAATGAGATTATTATGGACTGTGGTCCTCCCGGACTCCAGAACAGACGACGACACTAAATTTCAATTTAAAAAAGGAAAGTGACACAGCATTCATCTTACCCTAAAATTATCACCAGAGAAAGGAATAAAACAACTAAAGAGAATGGTATAAAGAACTTTCATACGAGGTTTTTTAAAGCATATGGTATCCCTCACACACAATCGTATGCTGGGGTTCCAGGACCTCTAAAGGTTCCTGAAATACAAGTCTCTCAGGAACAGCACCCCCCGGTTATCTCTTCCTCCGCCCCCTACGAACCTTTCCACTGGGCAGCCGCCCGAGAAATTTCTCCCACCATCCGCAATGGCAATACTCTCATATTCTCCCTCCCTTTCCTGGTATCAGACAGTGGCATCTCCCTCCACAGGAAAAAACGGAGGGCGGGGGAGGCAGAATAAGACAGAAAGCTTGCAGCGAGGTTGATTAAGACGGAGGAAGGTGAGAAAACGCGGGAGGCGAGGGTGGGGCCCCCTCAGCTCCAGCCCAGTCTCTAGGCGGCCTCGCCAACACCACCCCACCGGGAAGGCACGCCCCTCGCCCGCCAGACCCCGAACAGCGGGCTGCGGACTCGAGTGACAGCCCCGCCACCTGCGCCGCACTCCCTCCCCTAAGCCAGCGGGGAGACAATTGCCCCTGCCCCACCAACAGCAATGCTTTGCTATTTCTCTCCCCTTCCCCTCCACGTCGCCGATGAGTGACAGGTCTCGGGGGAGGTGATCTCAAACGCTTGCCGTTAGAGACTACCGGTGCAGCCCTGCTCCGAAGCCCTCCGACAAGCGCGGGGGGTTAGACAGAAGGTTCCAGCCCGACCCAGGGGGACCTGGTCCAGGCCTGGCCTGCCGTAGTTGCCCCACGCCGGGCGGAGGTGGCACTTACTGCGGAGATTGTGGATTAGCTCCGAGTGGCTGGCGCCGCCGGATTTCCAGGCCATCGCTAAGCACACCCGGAGCAGGTACAAAACGACCTTCAGGACGGCAACGGTGCCCAGCAGCTTCCCCAAGAGTGAGACCACTTCCCAAACAGTGACCGCCCCGCTCGCGTCTCCGCTGTAGCCGCTGCTACTGCCGTCGCCGCTGCTGCCGCCACTGCGCGCTCCCGGCATGCCCCGCGGCACGCATGCGCTCTGTGACGCCGCGCGGCCAGGGGCGCGGCCCGGTGGGGCTGGAGCAGGCGTGGTCGTGTGCCCCGCGCGCGCTCGTTGCTGCGGCGACTCCTGGGGACCCGCAGGGAGATCTAGCTGAGTCAGCGCCGCTACCGCCGCCGCTGCGCGCCGCCTCTTCCCTGGGTTCTCCCTGCGGCCAGGCCGGGTGGGCCTGGGCGCGGTCGGTCGCGTGCCTGGCCACGGCTGTGGTTACAAAGCGCGGAGGCGGGATGACTGAGCTGATCGGTGCCGCCGTGCAGATCTGGTTTCGCCGCTGCCGGTGGCTCTGCTGTCGCCGCTGGGTCAGCTGTTGCGAGCCGCGACTTTGCTCCTATAGCTGTCCAGGTTGTTAGACGGTGGGCTTCCTCCGTCCTACCTCACCCAACCCAGTTCTCTAATGTTTAGGCCGGTTAGACTAAGAGCTCCGTTTTAGGGAGCCTGAATAATCGGAATAGAACCTGAGGACAAAGTCCCTCTCTAACCCGAGTACTCTAGCCTCTGGCTTTGTGATAAGAACATCACTGGTTAGCAGAGACTTTGGGATTCTGGTTTGTTCTCAATCCTAAAGCACACCTACAGAGTGTAAGAGTATCACGCCATGGAATGGGAAGAAGGTGCTCTACTCCTTAGAACAATATAAACGTAAAGATCTACAATTGGTTAAAAATACCTCAGTATCTTCTGGTGAATGTTATTTTCCCAGCACAAGTGTGCGCTTTCGGCTAATTAAGCCTCATAAATTCCACTGTTAGGCTGGGCACGCCAGCTTTATTGCTATCAGCTCTGCAGACGATGAGTGAGAGAAACTGTTAGGGAACATGGCCTGTTGCATCCAAATTGCTGACTCCTCATCAGAACTGAGTCTGACAATTCAACCATCGTTTAGTGCAGTCATCTTTTAAGGAAAGAAGCAAAGCGACATCAAGACATCTATGCCACTACACCAGCAGCAATTTTCAAATTCTGGTTTTTTAACAGACTGTCAAATACGGCATGCGGCCCACTTCCAATCCACAATATACCTTGTCTATTTTTGTAGGATCCAGTGACCATAAATGAAACCACACTCAAAAATGTTTTTTACTTCAACATTAGGAATAAAAGTGTTAGTTTGGAACTCCAATTAATATAGTAGTTTTCCAATTCATCTTTATGCAGCTTCCTGATGGTCTTCCGGTTGGGGAGAACAAAAATGAAAAACATGAAGTTCTTAAGAGGTACCTAATAATTTTCTAAAACTGACCGAGATTGACTAAATTTACATATGGTGCTTCCATAAGCCGTAACTGTGAAATAGGACAATATCAGATACAAGTAACAACAGCAACAACCAACTTATTAGAGAAGCTTGTTTTAGAGAACCAATGCACGGTAATGAATACCTACAGCAAGGGAGATAAAAAGATGGCCAACTCATACCTCTTGTATGTAGCTCTTTTATGCAGTAGAATGTATATTCTAGTTGGGGAGAGCTGCATCAAAAGAAAACTAGCAATAAAGGGCAAACTATAAGTGCCATTCGTGGTCTAGTATCAAGTGCTGTGTTTATTTAGAGCATCATAACTGGGATGAATCAGGAAAAAGTACAGGAAGAAACTGATCCTTGAGGGATGTGCTAGATTCTGAGGAAAGAGGAATGAAAGGAATATTCAAGGTGTAACTAAAAGCACAAGGTGCCCTGGTGGTGCCAGTGGTTAAGCACTGGGCCAGTGGCATCACTAGGGTTAGTGTCACCCAGTGATGTAACTCATAGTGTCACCCTCCCCCCACAGTCCTCCTCCGGCTTCAGACCATGTAGAAGAACCCTTAGTGTTTTTTGTACTAATGTTACTCATAAGTCGTAATTCCTGTATATCACCCTGTCTTTTCTGTTAATTACTACTTCATTCTCAAAGTTATCGATATATGTTTACAAATACTAATTACCACAACAGTGTAGCTAAAACACCAGAAAATTAGACAAAATCAGCGACTATAAAAACACCAGTAGCAACGGAAACAACAGCTCGTGCTTATAGCTCGTGTAGACAAAACGAAGTAATTTGAAGCGTCATTGTAATTGGGTAATAGTGACAGCTCTGACTGGAGCACATTGGAAGGTTCAAAAAGTAAATCAACATAGAGTTTTAGCCTTGTAGGTATATTAATACATGCAAGCTGGGCTTATGAAAAATGTTTTTGTTGTTATAACTAACTATAGGGACATTTTTGTAGATAGTCATTTTGGTGCCACCTCCTCTGACAGTGTCACCCAGTGCGGTCTGCAACTCCTCCCTCCTCCCACCCCTCCCCCACCCC